ACCAAATCTGCAAAGGAGCCACATGTCCAAAAGTCACGATTCACTGCGCCTGTCACGAAATCTGAGCTCCTCGACGATCACCACCGTGTCCAAAGTGCTGCACCTGCCACGAAAACTGCATATCGAAGTAAAAGAGCTCCGATCCCTTGCACCTGTCACGAAAAGTCGACTTTGAAACACCAAAACACGAGGCTTCCCCTGCGCCTGGCACGAAAAGTGACCACCATGTGCGAAAATGGGCACGGCGCCACAACGAGAGCGCAGTCGTTAGAAGCACCCGCCCGGGGCACCCAGACTGTGTGAGCCTGCGCAGTCGAAATGCACATAAGACACAGGTGAAAACTCTAGTTATACAATGGAGGGACGATTCGACCATGATCCGACCATGAGCCGAGGCACCCAGACTGATGTCAGCCTGCGCAGTCGAAATGCACTTTAGACACAGGTGAAAACTCTAGTTACAATGGAGGGAGTTCTGCAGAGCTAGCCTTGCCAGGTTCGGAACCACCCTTTGTATTGAAAAACGCAGCATTTCGTGCGTCCGCTATCTCTCGAACATGCATTTTGTACGAGACGTCCTTCCAAAGCGCATGTTGAAGAGCTGACCAGAGCTACAGCTGACTGGAGTTAAAGCTATAACTAAAGCTAGAGCTGACTGGAGCTAAAGCTGAGTAGTAGTAGTAGTAGTAGTCGTCGTCGTCGTCGTCGCCGTCGTCGTCGTCGTAGTGGTAGTCGTAGTCGTAGTGGTAGTGGTAGTGGTAGTGGTGGTAGTATATAGTAGTAGTGGTGGTAGTAGTGGTGGTAGTAGTAGTGGTAGTAGTAGTGGTAGTGGTAGTAGTGGTAGTAGTCGTGGTGGTGGTCGTAGTGGTAGTAGTAGTAGTAGTCGTCGTAGTAGTAGCAGTAGCAGTAGCAGTAGCAGTAGCAGTAGTGGTAGTAGTAGTAGTAGTAGTAGTAGTAGGAGTAGGAGAAACTTCCTTTGATCAGTCAAAGGGTACACAAAGTCCTTCAAACCTGTTCATTGCACTGATACAGTATCGTTCAGTACAAAGTAGGTACGTGCAGCACCACTTTCTGACCTTGGCCTCTTTTTACCCGGTCTTAACTTGTTTTTGGCAATTCTGAATGCACAACGTGAGACTTCTGGCAAACATAAATATCCTGAGAGCCCCAGCATCTTGAGGGTGGATTCACGCTGCTCCACCCCCTGCGCTTGCCACAGCAGAAACTCACGTTCAAACCGTACAGGAACTGCTGGGTCCGACGGGCTGACTCGATTATATACATTGCGTCGTGTGTGTGTGTGTATGTGTGCTGGAAAGCTGTGAGATATTGGATATTATAAAACGATAGACTACAATATGACACCCCCATGCACGTGCGGACAATGTTTCGTTCACAGCACTAGCTTCTGGGTGAGTTCAAGTCGGAACATTCAAAAGCTACAGTAGGGGTTTACTTCGGACAACTGCTGGTCGGTGTCTATTCCTTCTTAATGTCCCCAGTCTCTTCGCACCTCAGAAGGTAAATTCAATCTGCCCAAGGCATCAATTGCAGAGCGCTTCACACTCAGCTGGACATCATCCAGGGCCAGCATCACCTGGGCGAGCTCTGACTGCAAAGCGCCCAACGACGCTTCACTTCAAGACTGCCCTGGAAGATCCTGGAAGCATGGCTGGAGTCTGGAGCCTTTCTGAAAGTGCTGAGGCTACCGACTTCTTTGAGGATGCAGTACTGCCATTTGGGCCTGGTGACTCCAAGACACTCCGAACTGCAAATAGTAGCTTATTGTTACTAGTTGTAAGGCCAGGAGCCCCTAGGCCCTAGTAGCGTCCGTGCTCCTAGTAGCGATGCCCGTTGTTACTAGGAGCGTCTTGTTCCTGTGAGATGCTGTGAGTGCACAGCGCAAGGTCACATGTTTGAAAGCGGACGAGACGAGAGATGAAAGCATCAACGGCTCGGACGATATGCCACACCTCTGCTCCCGCGCGCAGAGGCATCCCAAGGCTTGGATCTCAGAAGCAATGCGAGAACGAAAGTCAGCTGGTTAGGAATTGTTGGGAGTGCAACAGGTAAAGGATTGCAATGCAGCAAAGCCTTTCATGATATAGAGAAGGCCAATGACATTGTCCACAGTGTTGGATTGGCACTATGCTATGCTTCCCTTATCAATTGCCATATTCTATGCGGTGTTCCAGGCTCTTCCTTTCCACCCAAGTTGGACAGGACACAACGTCTACATACACTCGTACTCTGGAGCTTGTGGCACTTTACACTCACTTTTGCATACTTGTGACAGGCGTGCCTCAGCAAGTGGCAGTATTCAATGATTTAGATGGCCAGGGGGTTGTTTCTGTCTGCTGATACACCTCAATGCCACCCCGATGTACTGTACATGTATACACATGCAACGATTTGATTTCTGTCCATGCTGGGGCATAATCAGTATCTGGCTTCATTTGTCAAGATAGGGGTCTCACACGAACACACGGGAATCACAACAAATTGCAACCAACATGTGTCGTTTTTGCCTGCCATTTGCAGACGGTTCCAACAAAAAATCCACTGAAATCCAAATAACTCTGACTGGTCTCACTTTTTGTATCAGGCGCTTGCCAGGCTCTTGAATCTCAAATGACTTCTCGGTCAATCCGTTAAGCTAACATGACATAACCAAATGACCTGCCCTTCTCGCTTCAGCCATGTCGCAGATTCTTCACGCACATTCCTGACAATGCCATGCTGTGGCATCTTGCATCATACAATGACAAGCACAGTCTGCTATTCTGGTGCGCCTTTCTTCAGATTTTGCTTCTCGTAGGAGTGCTTCGATTAGCGAGGCTCTGGCACGGGGAGAGGCCTCCAAGTGTTACAAAATAGAATCTCTGAAGCGCATGCATCTGTGAACATCTGTGCCGGTGTTAACTCAGCCTGCAGGTGGTCTGTGACTGACTGCTTGACTGCTTGACATGTTGCTCTGATTCTGACATGAACCAGATTTGATCATACATTGCACGTCAACACAGATGCTCGGTGGAGCCTGCCCTCCTCCTTTAAAGTGTAGTGCAATGCCAGCAGCAGCAGCTTCTTTTGTTGCAAAGCACTCATGGCCTAACAGCTTCAAGAGAGAAACCTTGGCTTCGAGAGTGCCAGCAATTATCACGTCAACGCAAAGGTTCTTAGAGCGGCAAGCAACTGCTCTGCAAACGATTTCCAGGGTCATCCTGAATCCTTAATATGTCGACTTGCCAAATCAGTTTCCCTAAACATCTAGGAACCAAATCATTAGTGCGAGCGCTATCCTGCGTCCAGTTACTAGTAGCTGGAGTGGCTAGGAGCAAACTTCTCCCTTACTCAATTGAGTAGGCGGCGGCTACTAAAGGAAAAGAAAGACTTTGAATTATGATAATTGATAATTACATCGACTTGCCTCTCAGAAAGTTGCACCACAAGAATCATTGGATATTGATATCCTTCAGATTACACACAGCGTGCTCCAAAATTCTTTGCACATGTCAGACCGTACAAGACTTTGTGGGCTATGGCAGCCATGATACCAAGGCGGCTTCAGCCAGTCCAAAGTCATCGTCCAAGCAATGGGCAATGGCTTGAGCATGGCGAGCTCCTTCAAAGCCCAAACATCCCAGCGCTTTTGCTGCCTCAAGGCAGTGGGTTAAAACCAGTACTCTGAGGGGATGTCCAAAGGATTTGTAGAGCGCCTTCTGGACTTAACATGCAGTGCGACGGACACAGTTGAAGAGCTTGTGAACCAGAATTTGTGCGTTGGATGGAAAAGTGATGAATTGCTGTCCACCAGCCAAGTGCTACAGTACACCAAGTTACACTCTCGGCGACATCAACAACGTGGTCCTGTTGCAAAGCACAACATGCTTATCACAGATCCACAGCACTTCTCCAGGCTAAATGAGCACATTGACCGCATGGGGTTGCACAAAGACTCAGAGCCATTCTTTCTCTCATCATTGTACCAAATGTTGGATCACGTCAGTCAGTTCTTGATTTAGATTATATAATCCACACGTTATTAGTTTGTTGTTGATTAGACCCATTGTGACTCATCCTTAGTAGACTTGGCTCAGCTTGACATGTTGAAGTTAAACGTGTGTCCCCCATTTGCATGACCATGACCATACGCAAGCTGCAAGCTCCTTCAATCAAAACCTTGTAAACCGCATGTCAAGAGATTCTAATTGAGTGGGACAATGCGGCAAACGTCTTCAGTGTCCTTCAGCAATTTGGAAAGGCGCACTGCTGCCTCCCGCGTCACTGTCACTTCATCCCGCTGTGCTTCAAAGGTCCCGGCAATCTCGCCATAGGTTTCAGCAGCTGCTCGGCGCACTGACCACTGCTCTGCCCAAAGGCAATCCCGAACGGCTTCGGAAGCCCAACTGGCACTCCTTCCTAAAGATGCCAGGGCCGCAAGCAAATCCCGTAGCTCTGCTGCTTTGGGATTCATGTTGAATCTACTGAGTAAAGTTGACGCAAAGGGCATGGTAGCTTCGGGACCAAGGTGACACAAAGCCAAGGCCGCCACACCGCGCACGCGGAAGTCAGGATCATCCATGAGAGCACCGATGTCTTTGTCGATGCCAGGAAGCACAGTCAGCACATCACAATTGGATCCCTGAAAGATGCGCAAGGCAGCGCGGCGCACACCAGGGTTACTATGACTCATCAAGGAAGCAGCTTGATGGATGCCAGGCTCACCTCGGACCGAAACCAAATTATGCCGCAGGCAGATTTGGCAAGAAGAACGTAATGATTGGCCAATGAAATCTGCACATGTTGGGAAGGTGCTAAACCCATCTCCAATTGCTGCAAAGAAACCCAATTTCCTCAAGACCTCGACCGCTGCTTGCCGCTCCAAGGCTTCGCCGTCCACCAGGTACTCTGTCACCAAAGGAGCCGAGACATCACCAAGTCTTGCTAAGCCTCCACGGTTTTGGCATGTTTCAACATCTTGCAAAGGGCAGAAATGAAACACTTGGACGACATCAAACGCTAGGCCTTAATAAACATTCTCTCTTCCCATGCCAACAGCCAGTGTCAATCTCCGAAGTAGTTTCCACATCATAATGATTCTGTATATGAAATTTAAATTGTCTTACAATTGCAGATCGTACAGCAGTTGATACATAGTGAAAATAGACAACCTTCCACAACCCGGCAGTGCGAAGATTGAAACGGACAGACCTTCGGCAGCACGATCAACGACGCATTGGCCATGATGGTGCGACATCAACGGAGCAACCGCTTTAGCCTCAAGCTGTGATTGTCACCCTCTCAATTCGTGCAAGTATTGGACATGGTTGGGTTGGTCAGTGACCCCCTAAACATGGCGATTCTGATTCTTGCTCTGATCCAAAGCAGAATGTGACAATGTGCAAACCAAGACGCTATCTTGGTGGGGTTGAAATGCTCATCACTGGCTGCTTCAGATGCAAGCAAGCACAAAGACCTGGCAGCCTGGCCACGGACATCAGCGCAGTCATCCTCCAAACAAAGCACCTCAGGAACAAAGGAACGGCATCAAACGGGAGTAGAATGGCACAAAAGCTAAGAAAAGAAAAACACTTTGCATATAAATAATCTATTAGACTAGAGATAGTACAAATGAGCACGTCTGTCATATGAAGAATTACATGCATCAATAGATTAAATGGTTAGTCAAGTGGCCATAGCTTCGGCACAAGGTGATGCAGCCGTAGGGCCCGAGGTGCCCAACGCATAGAGGACACATTCCCTCACCTTCCGAGTCTGAGGAGGGCTCCTAGTAGTATGGCCAGGAGCCCCTAGGTGTTGTTCAAAACAATTCAAAACATATTCACCCTTTTGCGATGTGGAAGAGGCAGCGGCAAACCCATCAAAATCCTGTTGATCAAAGTGTGCTCCAGGAATAGCGAAACAGCTGATTCACTGAACCAAGTCTATTTCCAACTGATACTCACTGCTTTTCATATCTTCCCACCTTGTGATTCTCATCCTGCAAGAGTTGCTGAGCCTCTGCCACTAAGCGTAAGCGCTTCCGTGGCAGCGCCTCCAAACCATCTGCCAAGCTCTTGCGAGCCATCAGGCCCAGCTGAAGATCTCGGAGGCCCAGAGCTTCCTGACTCAAGATCTCAATGGATCCTCCAACCTAATAGGAATAGCCTCAAACCTAATAGCGATGTCCAACCTAATAGGAATAGCAAGTGATGCCACCGTTCAGCAGCCAATTTTGTAAAAATGCCAGAGCTTCTGTTTCGACAATGTTCGAATGCACCCTTCCCACCTTCCCCTCACCTTCCAGCAGCTGCAAGGCCACTGCCTTCCGCGCCACAGAGCCGCTGCGCCAAATCCACCTCCAACAACTCTAAGCGTCTCAGGCAAACCGGTCAAGCAGCAAGCAGTGACAGAACCGTGCAGAAATATGATTTCAGCATACATTATATAACTAATTAGCGTTGACCGGGTTGGGCTAGCATGATACATACAATTATCATGACGACGGGAAAAGAGGATGAGGAATGCAATATCACGACATGTTGTACACTTCCGTGAATCAAAGCCTACTAGGAGCAAGAAGCTTCTAGTAGCTCCTGGCCATACTACTGGTAACAAGAAGCTACTAGGAACAAAGGGCATCGCTACCAGTAGCAATTGCCACAGCCCACGGATTCAGCTGCCCCACTTCGCCTCTCCACCACCTCCTGGAGCTTTTCACACAGCAAAAAGCGGCTTAAGGCCAACAACCTCACCGCCACAACAGCATCATAGCACCGCTCACGGCGTTTCTGTGTGAGCCTGGGCGCCGCGGCTTCAAGGTGGAAAATGCGAAACGACAAAGGCTTGATCAACAAAATGGATGCGTCACCATGATTCAGTCAGGTGTCATCCCATGTCAGGCCCTGGAGCGCACAGCTGAGAATACTTATATGATCTTATATGATATATCGTTAAGCATCTTTGAGGCGCTGCCACCTGCTCTCAATGCGAACAAGCTTCGCAAGCTTCACTGGTCGCATGTCCTTGCAGGCCAAGCATACGAGCAAGTACTCAAAGCCTCAAACAGGGACAAGCCTGGCATGTTGATTGATTCACATATGTCCTTGTCGGAGAAAACGCCAGCGACACCCAAAGGCAAACGCCCATGGTTGCCCAGCCATGCCAAGACCTGTGGCAAAAGGCATCGGGCACCACGGCTCAATCGCGCAGTGGCGGGAATCAAGGCACAAAGCTCCGCGACTGAGCTCTCAGTCTCCTTACCAAGTTCACTCAGGGAGAATCACTGAAATCTGTCAAGGATGAAATAATACATCTGATTTTAGGAACTATTTATCTCCAAGAAGGAACAATTCTGGTGAGAAGTACAAAGAGTGAACAGTAAACAAATTACATGAAGACAAGAGCCTTTTCATACAACTCTTGCCTGGCTCGCAGCTCAAGAATCCCCCTCAATCGTGCATGCAACACTAATATGCAACACTCACTGCTTGAAAGTCCTGGAAGGGGCATTCGCGAAAAAAACCACAGGCTGCCAGCTGAGTCCAGCTGATCCGCAGCTCACCGACTCTTCGGTGGGATTCGCAGCCCTTGGCACCATGCCACAGCCGTGCCAAGACACACCGGCGCTCACGGCGCTGGCGCTTCGAGTTCATGGCGAGCTTCGATACCTTGCTCCATGAGGAGGACCTTCGCATGTAATGGTACTGTGGTGCTGTGGTACCTCGTGAGAACACAAATCACAAACTCCTGTTACCAGGTCCATGTACTCCTATGCCTCAAGAAACTGAGAGGAGGACTTCCAAGTTAAGTTGGATTCACAATCTGACACTCCGATTGAGGTATGTTGGAACTTTCTTTGCCCGCTGAAGAAGGGACTAGTTAATGAACACATGTACCTCGACCTACACATGTCATCTGAGTCTTTGCTTTGGTTTTGAGAGTGCTGACTTGGCCACGTGACCATCAAGGACCATCAAGCAAACTGTATTTTACAGGATCAGCTCTAATAGTACTAACTACCTAGCTAACCCTGCTAGTCCGGTAGGCGCTACCTTTTGCTCTACCTTGAGAGTCAACGCTACGGGGTCCATGGGGATGAGGTGAATTTCAACACAAACTCTGAACTAACGATGGACATCGATGGACCATATTCTCCGACAGCAAAGGTATCTGGCAAAAAGCCGTTCCAATTCTTAGACCTTTCCACAACGTCAAGTACGTCAACCAGAACACAGTGGCAGATGCAAGAAGCTTCGAGAAGCTAAAGTCTGTATCCAAGCTGCCACTTGGTTCCATCTTGTGATGTGCCTTGCTGCTTCGCCACACTCACTTGCACCTAGAGGTCAAAACCAGCCGAAGGCTTAAAACTCACAAGCGGTCGATTTCCCACCACCCTGGGGCACCCAAAAACATTGTTTTAAGGAATAACTGAATAACCGTACAGCAACCCTGATCATTGACTATCAGAAGTTTGGAAAACTTTAGCAGCCACCAAACTGCACAATCTCTTCTAAAATGGCCTTTGGCACCAAGACTTACGATGCAGCTAGGCGCGTTCGTATTCCAATCATCAGGTGTAGTGGCGGAATTGGAGGCAGAGGCAGAGACCACCTCATGTCATTCATTGGTTCTCATACAGTGAATGATGAATTTTGGAAGAGACCTCACCATTCGCGACCATCTTCGATGAGGTTTCTACCTTTGAGCCAAGCAGCTCCAAGGAGAACCATGGAGGTCACGACCTGAGCTAGTCCAACGTTGGATAAACGACGAAGACGGTCGTGGAGAGACTTGTTCGACCAAACAGACGTGAAAAAGCCTTGGTGACAAGGCAGGCTGAAGAGAATTCTATGAGTCCAATGTTATTCGATTGGCCCCCCTGCGTTTTTAATGTTGTGGTCCAGTCCACCACGAAGGCTATTCTGCGGCCATGGAGCAATGGAGCTCACTTGTGGAGCTAAATTCCCTAGGAGCTGGCTGACTCCGCTGACGTCAGCAATTCGCAGTTGAGACGTCTGATCCTGTTTGGCTCTTTGGTTGACCAGGGTGTCTAGCCAAAATGCCTACCCCAATGCTCTTAAGCGCAACACTATATTTATATATACATTTGCTAGGCATCTCACATAATGACATGTTAGACATGTTACATGTTCTAACCATTGATGAAACAGCTTATTAAATTTGGAAGGCCGTGAGCGTCAAACTCCACACCCCCAACGTCCTTCTGTGGCTGTCGTGCTGCTTGGTGAGATCTACCTGCAGAAATTGGAATTCATTGCTTTTTCTGGTGGGTTCATGATGCTGCACTGGACGGGAACAGTGGCTACAAAATGAAGTGCCATTCAACTCGGTCAGTCACTTATATACGCTTATGTCAAGCCCGGATCCAGCGAAATCGAAGTGTGTCTTGGTCTTGGCGCCTTGAAAGGAACCAGGAGTAAACGTGTTTGCATCGAGCCAAACGCCTGGGATCTCAGACATTGCTGATATTGATTTTGTAGTGTGGGGAAGCATTCGCAAGGATTCAGTTGGGATGCCTGGGGAAGGTCAAAGCTGTGAGGTCAAGCTATGAACTTTGCTGTCGGAAATGCAATTCACGGGAAAACAAACATATGGTGGTTGATCTAAATTCTTTTCATCTGGAAAGTGCCTCTTCGCGAAAAAAAAAATAACTACTTTCGCGAACCCCATGTTTAACTTTCGCGAACTTTCGCGAAGTATGATCTTACATATTCAGAAGAAGTTCGGGTACATGGGTATATATAGTAGTTAAAGGAAGACTCTGATTTCCTTCTGAGCTGGTGGTCTGAAAAGATCACAGTAAGCAAACAAATAAGGGTCCCTTTACCTACAAATAGCATACATGGTTACATGAAACTTTCGCGAACCCTGTGTTTAACTTTCGCGATCTTTCGCCCGGTTGGTACTTAGTAACCGAAATGGCTGTTCCATATGAAACTCCTTTCATGGACCTTTAGATCGATGCCCATATCAAAAAAAATACTAAACAGTAGGACTGCTGAAACCATACTGCAACCGCTCTCCTTGTGCGAGAGCCACAAGTTGTACTGGCTTTGATGTTTCAGGGGCAATCAGCAGTATTCCAAACCACCATAGGAACACGTCTTCATGGATCAACAAAACGGCATCTGAGCGTCAGCAGCGCCAGCATCAATGAGTGATTCTCCGGTCGGACCAAGCAGGGACAAAATACATCTTGAGTCATAGCATCGAGGTTGAACACATCTCTTTCAAGGCTTTGTTTTTCCGCATTACTCACTAAATTGCTACCAAAATACATTGTCTCACCAGAGCCAGTACAAGCAGCACGGGTAGACAAATCAGCCAATTGGCACGCTTTCGGCCTGCATCGCAAACATCAATGAGTCTTGACCGAGCAGAAACAGGACAAGGAACTCTACCAATATCCGTTGACCTTTGACTGCTTTGGGTGTTGAAAGGTCAAGCATACCCTCCCTCCGGAAATGAAGACCGTGATATGACAAACATCATTCATCATCATTAATTCGGAGACAACAAGTCAACTCACCGACTCATTCCTTCTCCCAGCAGTGGCCTGCAAAGTAGCTGGCCTGACAAGATTTTAAGACTTGGCTCTCGGGGCCTCTCCCATCAAGCTGAGCTGTTCCGCTTAGGTCTTATGCATAGGAAGGAGGGCAAACATACAAACGTCCAACGCAAATGTAAACCACTCACTCTGTTGGGATACTGATACCCTAAGACTCTAAGAGCTTGAGCCAGGATCTCAATTATATACCGCTAACCACTTACGTATAGTGACCAGTGAGGAGGAATTATCGCAATGAACGCAGCAGTGTAGGAGGGGTGCTAAACAGATTCTGCAGATTTTGGATCGCCCGAGTCAAATCCCATGCTTGTTCGTTTCAGATGCCAAGCAACCTACACGTTCAGTCCTTCAAAAAGCTACAGTGACACGAGTCCAAGCCTTTCGTACACGGTCCAGCGCATGAGGCCACATTGCTTCCTGTGTCCCTCGTCTTTGGAAGAAGCACAAGTCGCCCGGCAACTCTTTAAAGTGTTAACATAAGCAGGGCATTCTATGACAAGGGCAGTCTTCAATAGGTCCATTTTGCATTGTGTGCTCGTGTCACTGATCTGTACGGTGACCCAGAAGACAAGGTGGGCTTTAGCGGCTAAACCCATATACTTATCCATCGGAAATGGTGCAAGTATGTTCTCGTTATCGCTGACAATCCCTGCAATAGTTGATATGTGAAATCCGTGCTTGCTTCCTTTTCACAAACCTGAAGCATCCTTTTGCGGCACAAATGCTCCCCACCGTAAGGAGCAATTGGTGCAAGCTAGAAAAGCTGCGGGATGGATCCATGTCAATGCTGCATCTCGAATGTTTGAATGTTTGACTCTTAGGTAGAGGCCATCGCTATTGGGTGGAGGCCATCGCCACTAGTTTGAGGGGTGCGGGGGAGCGTGCAGCGCCTCCACAATGCAAACCACGTCTAGACATGGTTGCTCTTACCATGACACGACTGTCACGACATCTTCCAGTCCCCAAGCCAACCATGTCCTCGGGGCGGTCATCCTGCACCGATCAGCCAGGGACAGGAGGACAGGAAAAGCGAACGAATCCAAAGCAATAAGCCTATCATCAAAAGGAAGGAAAATGACCGAAACCTAAACAAACTGTTCAACTTAGAATACACCAGTTGGCAACTAAAGGGTCAAAGAGTGCAAGTCAAAATTCAGGCCTCGTTTTCTAACCCACAATGATGACGCACGAAGAACTGGATGTTCTCACCACCCTGGAGCACAGTGCAGTGTTAGCCATGCTGGGCTTCCCCTGTAAGACCAACCGACCAATCAACTGACCGACCAAGCAAATGTTGACATTGCGTCCCAGATCATCCCAAACTCTTTACATCGTGCCACCACGCTGGAAGCACCTGGAAACTGTTTCCAACCCGATTAATAGGAAAAGGAACCCAAAAGCGATTGCCTCCAACCTAATAGCCATGGCCTCCAACCTAATAGCCCTATCAAAGCTTGCCTCAAGTCTTTGCAAACTCCGGTCATGTTCTTTTCGTCTCCTGCGGAGATATATAAATACTGCAAGTCTGTGTTGCATTCTCCACTTGCAGCGTTTCGATAGGCTCCTACAACTCCCAAGCCTATCGTGTTTCACTACCAGCTCCTTGGATCCAGCAAAATATCTTTGGCATCAGTGGCTTTCTGGAAGAGCTCTTTATTCCCGCCCTGGGCAGCGGAAATCAACCAGCTGAGCCAAACTGTTACAGTAGTCCTCCCCTGCCGTCAAGTGACGGGTTTGTCGGGATGGAGTATCAGGGACAACCTCCTATACGCGCTTTCGATCTCCTGGCAGATCATCCAAAACGGACTTGCGGTACTTTCAAAAGGACAAAACACAGCACAAATAGAGTCCTGTGCGGTGGCAGTTCGCTCAACACCAAGAATAGCATAAAGGTTTGGGGACATGGGCTTTGCGAGGATTGCTTGGCTCTGCGGCTGTCACAGCAAACAATTGCTACTACGCTTGAAAGCTGGAAAGCAACATGCTAAAAGAGTTGATTGAAGATCTTTGAAGCATGTGTGCAGGAAAATCACCTCAAGACTCGCATGGAATGGTTCGTGTCTTTATGTTTCAAGGTGCAGCAACCGTGATGAAAGGATCAAGCTGCAAACATGTGATCAACTGTAGCTACACAGCAAGTGAAACATGCATGCAGAACGGACCTCAGTTTCTCATCTGTGAACAAGTTTCTCATATTCGTTATTTTCTTAGGGTGATGTTCACACCTGGAAGATAAATTAACATTGCCTATCTGATTCTCAAGACAATGCTCTTTCCTGTTAAATTCACAATGAAATAAACTGAAGGTAGGTCTCATCATGTGGGTAGTTGTGTCTCTCTTTCTCTGGCTAAAGGACACTGGAGGTTGCCAAGCATCTCCATCCTGCATTCCTCGACAGATCGCACGAGGCCCTTTGAAAACAACTTTGGTTTCTCTGTCGTGCCGATACACCGGCATGCAGCTCACATTCCATTTGGAAGATGCTGCTGAAACAACGTGATACCTTCAAGCCATGGAGTTGGCTTGGCGCACCAAAGTTATTGCACTTTGAGTCTCCCTCGTCTCCTTTTGTTACAAGTAGAGAATCAAACTCAGTATGAGATGGTATGAGTACGTGTTTCTACACACAGATTTCTGGTATTCCAGGGAGGTGGAGAAGCTCGAGCCACATCTGGTGCATGGCTCATACTCCAAGCAGTTCTATATACATTGCAATTGTCGCAAAACCAATTGCTTGGCGCTTGGAGTCTGACAGATTGGTCCTGCTCCATGCAGCAAGACGGCTCACATGGGCTCACCAATGTGGTGTCCTGTCGATACTCTCCACAAAACAGGATTGAGATTATTGAGATTTGTCTGTCCCTGGTCTTGAGGCATCCCCATGTCTGTATGATACATTACACTCACATCCGGAAACGGGAACTGGCAAGGATGAATCTCCTCATACAGTGAATACAGTGGAGGTTTCCGAAGAATGCAATGTTCATGCTATGGACTGAGCAGAACTCGAGAAGGTTCTCTTGCATGATCAAGTTCGACTGCCAATGTTCCTCCTCCAGTGCATTCATGCCTTGGATGATAAAGCCTCGTATGAAGAAGGTGCACTTGGGTTCGGGCCAAAAAGAAATTGATGCAAAAGTGTTGTAAGCCATCCAGCACACTGGGTACAGTACGTTCAAGCATACTACTATACACGTGGAGCTGAGTCACAGGAACATGGGCAAGGACAGTGACTCTATGGCTGCAAGCAGCACAATCTCTCACCCTTGGATACCTGGGTTCCGTGCAATGGTTTGCCTCCAATAGGCCTGACATCGGTGAATGACAAAAAACGCAAAAACATGTGGGTGCGGGAGAGAAAAACACATCATCATCAACAAAGAGAACATGTCTCAAAGAAACAGATCCACTTGATAAAAGGTATAGCATGGCCCATGGCACACATTTGTTTCACCAACCTGCCTCTCGGTGCTGCTCATATGGACCCCAGGGTCTGCAAAAACGCGGGTCCTCGCTATTTCAAAACTGGCTCAAACGTGACTCCTGAAAATATTTATATGTGTGTTGCAACTGCAACAGCTGTCGTCCTTGTTCTGTGTGAAAATGGCCATTCTGACAAAATAAACAAAAATCTGCACTTAGTTCGCAAACTCCACTTTTACAAAATATGTGCGACTGCTCTTGGAAGGAAAAACTAATCACCTGTGCAAGTTGGAACAAGCACTTTGGTCAGAAAGTGGAAGCCCTCGGCATGTGAAGGGCATTTGCCAACGTCTGCAGGTTGCATGCAACGTCTGCATGTTGCATACCCCTGCATCGCTTAATTCAAAAGGTGCAGCACATCTCCTCCTGCCCAATACACCCAGTCCTTTCCACAGCCAATATCTCTGATAATTGTTGTGCTTCGAGGAAAGTACTGGCAGCAAGAAAAACAACCGTGAAGCAATGTGGGAGTGTCAATAAAGGCTACACGCATATCCAGCCATTCATAAAGCAACTTCGTAGAGAATGGTCAGCCCAGGACACCTCTCCAGTCTAAAGCTGTGGAAGTACATATATATACACATATGTGGTGCTTGATCAATATCATTACGTGATGGAGTGGCAATTGGTCGTGGAAAACGGATGTCTTTTCGCGGATCTTTTGCGGCCTCATGGCAAAGCAGGGTCCTGAAACCATGTCTATTTAACATGTGTTGGAACATGCTGGAACTATATTTGCTATATCAACAAGTAGTGACTGGCATCTTGCAGCATGGCCTACACACAAGGTTGAGAGTTGCTACAGCTAATCTAGGGTAACTTGCAGCATCTGCGCGACAAACCTTGGGGAATGTCCTGGAGGAGGCTAGAATAGTCAGGCACCGCTCACTCCAACCCTCGTGCCAGCGTCGACCACAGGGTAGTGCAGCTCGGGAAATGTTGGGGAGGGCTCAAGTTTGGGATGGCACATGCGCAAACATCTGCACAACCTGTCAGAGCTGCGGATCGTTGCCTCTCGGTCAGGGCTGCGTAAGGGTGATGCATTTGCAGTTTGTGAGTTAACTTGGGCAAAGACAGTTCGTTAGTCTGTGGCAGTGGGGACATATGGGGACACTTCAGCCCACCGGCCCTGCCAGAGTATTGCCTTGCATTTCTACCATATCATATAAAATAAACATGTAACTGTCGATATTGTTTTTCCACAAAAACGCCGATACTTTCGCGAACCTTATTATGGATCTTTCGCGGACGGTTTGGACAGCATCTGAGTCTGAAAGGTCGTTTTATATAAAAAAAAAAGAAACCTATAGAAACCTTACACATAATGATGTGTTTAATTTAGTGGATGCTTTGATTCATGTCACTTCTGTCACTTCTTCCCATCTGCGCATCTGTGCCTGCATCCTCGCTTCGGAGCTTTGACCCTGGGGCAAGTGATCAAAGTCAAAGCTCGGGCCATTGACCTTCCGCAGCGGTGGGTTCTCCAAGCTCAGCTCCTGTGTTCAATGGTAAATGATGGTAGACCACTCAAGGAACACGGTGAACCAAAGGAATGCTTCAAGGATAATAAAAGGTTTGCAGCATTAATTACGATTTTATAGGAATCGTATGAACATTCATTGCAAGCTGTGGTGTTAGTCGTCGTTGTCGTTGTTGTGGTTGTTTTTGTTCTTGTCCTTTCTTGCTTGTGTCTATCCTTTGTCCTGCACTGCTTGGGAACCCCAGAGACCTGAGGCAAAGCTCAGACCCATCTGTCTGCTCTATTGCTGCAAAAGACCTATTTTCAGCAGGGGCACAACGCACGATGGGGGCTTCCGGTGGCCTTCAGGTTCCATCTGCCCATCAACCCATTCAAACCCAATCCTTTCAGGCCCGCTCCTTCTCGGCGATTTGGCTCTCAAGAAGGTTTATGCGTTCTGCATGTTCACTGGGAAAGGTGGTGGGATCGTATGGAATCTCCAGGAGCTGCAAGCCCGGTATCCTCAAATGGAGAGTGGGTCCAACAAAGTCCGAGTGCGAGGTGGGGGCTAGTGCTGCAACTCAGCTCTGGAGTGTAAGTAGCATGCGATGTCTGTATCTGTGTATGCATGTCATTAGAGAGTAAAGAGTGTATTTACAAAAACTCATCATCCAACCTCAGGGTCCACTACACGAGTCTTGGAAAGTTTGAACATGCACAAAATTACTACTTCTTTAAAGCCCGTTCCTACGTAATTAAGTAGGTGTCTACTCAATCAAGGGATAGTAAGGGCGACTAGTTAGCCTTTAGTAACTGGACGCAGGATAGCTCACGCTTCTTCAAGGAAGCTTCCCCCGCAAGCTTCCTTGAAGAAGCGCTCGCATGAATGATTGGGTTTCTAGATGCTTAGGGAAACTTAACTTCAAAGCATTAGGATTGGCAAGAACAGCCTGTCTTGCTTTCCAACGATATGACACAGCAGCGAATGCTGCAAGGCTTGGGTGTATGATACGTGGATCGGCAACCCTCTAACTTGCTCCAAGAAATAGATTGAGGCCTGCAAATTCTTTGATCGGGCAGTGCGCGGAGTTCATGTCTGCACGGCGAATGCGACATAATCTAGAGTCCTGAATCTAATCATACAGCAATAAGGATGAGACTCCTCCTACGCTCCAATTTCTTCTTGAATCGCAGTGAAGGCGTGTTCATGTCCTTTCATCCGTGCCCAACCCGTCCTCTTGGGCTTTGGCACTTCTGCAGAAGGCTCCAAAGAAGGGAGCTGTGGCAGCGACTTCGACATGAGCTTTGTTTTGCTGGTCTTCCTTGCTCAAACATAAAGGATGTGGCATGATGCCCCGCTCAAAGAGAAATCGACTGAAATCAACCCTTTTGCCCAACGATGCTCACGTGGACTATCCTGCTCACTTAGACGAAGACCACTTTAAACTGGAATCTAGTAGCTTAAGTAAGAGCTTGCTCCCGCACTTAATTGAGTAGGCGCCTACTTAAATGAGTACAGGTCTTTCAACAAAGAAAACGGTCTAAAGGTCTTCAACAAAAAAACAGCGGCTTTCGGGATCTTTCAAGCTTTCAGAGTTTCTGACGCACACGATTCTTGCCAAGCCTCTTTGGCAGCGGTGCACCATACGGACATTTTCGCTCCACCAAACCCACATTTGGGGTGGTGAGACAAGCGTAGTGTCGCCGTGCCTGTTGAAAAAGGTGCAAGTTCACATCAAGGCCAATGGAAACAAAGGAAAAGCCCCAACATCTTCTTGTGAGTTACTAATAGCAATGGCCTCCAACCTACTAGCAATGGCCTCCAACCTGATAGAGAGAAACTGTTCATTAAGCAAAGGACAAAGAACAACACCGTTCTAAAAGCCTGCGTGCCCCTGCTCTGCCTCATCAGCGTGCGCACGCCGTAACTCTCCAAACAGGTCAAAATTTACCAGCTTGGATTTGGCTAAGTCATATGGTGGCAAGGCCTGCCAAAGCACGCTCGAAACCTTGTGATTCACTGCATTTGCTGTACAGGCTTAGTTGTCTCGAAAGAGACCAACAAATATCATCAAATATCTTGAAGTCAGTTCAAGAACAGGTTGAAGTATGATTGTAAATTTACATATATAAATTTACTAACAACGCACACTTTAAGAAAGTGTCTCATGTCCCCGCTGCATCATTTACATCACAAACAGAAGGACTCTAGCAAGCTGTCTTGCAAATAAGTCCCAAAGTTCACGTCACGTTGATTTTCATCAATTTCCTGCAACAGTTGTCTCGCCGCGCCCACTTCACAATTGTGTCAATTGTGACTGCGACAATTGGGGTCAGTCTTACACGTTGGCGATCCTTTGAAAACTTTCAGGTCCCTCGAATTCCATGTCGTTGCATCATGTTGCATCTCCACCAGTCCCAAGGTCGGACCTCCACCACTCGGGTGCGTTTTCGGAAGGCCTGGAAGGAATTGGTCGGGGGTGGCAACTGAAAAGTGACACCAGGGGATGCCAAACAGAATCACTACGATGTCTATGATCTTCGATTTGAGCAAACTCCCACCATGACGAATCACATCGTTATTATCACCATCTCTAACTTTGTTCATGAGTGCTTTGGCAAGCGGCCTCGTCCCGGCTTTACACTTTTTGATAGTGAATGATTGTGATTTGAGGCGTCAAGAGGAAAACAACCAAGATATGTCTAAGTCCCTGGTTCATGATCCGTCACTTCCCTCACTTTAAAGCTGTTGTGCCTGAGCCATTGTGCCGTGCTCAAGAGATCATGGAGAAGACTATGACAAAGATCATAGTTACGAGCCAAAGGCCGCAGTACAACACAGTACAACTTGCTTTAACCTTATATGGTGGTTGTCCAATATTCTTGTTTATTGAAACGGCCATTCTTCGCGAAAAAAAAACATTAACATTCGCGAAACTTTCGCGAACCCTGTGTTTTTCTTTCGCGGGGGTTCACCATGTCATGAAACCATTTAACCTGGTAGGGACTCGATTTCTAAATACAGTTTGTGGGGTTGCTATGGGCTACGGGGTTCCTCTGGAGCCGATTCATTCGCCGAAACCTTCGCCAGACTTTCGCGAAATAATCCCTGTGCTTTGGAGGTTTTTACGGCATACATAACATAGGGTGGACTACATGAAACAGGAAGGAAGCTTCACACGGATTCCAAAGTTGAAGCTGCTGACGGTCAGAAAAGGATGTGGTTATGCATGGGGCAAGCCTGAAGGCTCGCCAAAGAACATACAATAAAAATTCATACGTTCGCGAATCTTTCGCGAAAAAAACATTAACATTCGCGAACTCGAAAAAAAACTTTCGCGAGACCCACGATCATGTCATCCAAGGCTCTCGACATTAAAAACCCTTACAAGGACCTTTTGGATAACTCCCATATATCTTGCTCAGCCCCTGGAATGCTTAAGGGTCAGAGATTCGTGGGGACCCAGTGGGGGGTCCAGGGGGGGGGACAACTAGGGGGGCCAGGGGGGGGGGGGGGCCGGGAGGGGGGGCCAAGTAGGGGGTCTATAAGATGATGTGTGCCTCTTGTGGCAAAAGAGGACGCAGTATAAGGTGCCCAATCCAAGTCTTTTGAAACAACAGAATTGGGATAGTAGCGGAAAATATAGCAAAGGGGAAAAAACAACACCTCAAAAATATTTCTCTCACCGTCCAATTTCGATGCTTGGTGGTTTCCAACAACTTGCCTCTATTATAAGATAAAATATTACATAGGAGCAAGGAGTAATTAACGATTGTCATCAGCAGTATCGTCCCCCTCGTCATAGTCATCAGCCTGAGCTTAGATCGGGATCCGTCGGGATCTGTTGGGATCGTCGCAATCCGTCGGGATCCGTCGTCCGTTCTGTCGGGATCCGTCGGGATCTGTCGGAATCTGTCGGGAGGGATCTGTCGGAATCTGTCGGGCATGGTCTTTTGTTGCTTACGGATGCAGAGGTTGAACAAGGCTCGGAATGCTTAGGATCGGTGAATTTATAGATGCGCCGACGGATCCCGACAGATCCCGACAGGTTCCGACGTATAATCAGGTCATCATGAATCATATATTGTAGGCTCTTGATTATCACGGCATCAGTCAACACAGCATTTGCAATCGAGATACATTGGGAGCTGTCGGGATCGATAGAGGAACTATCGGGATCCGTCGGGATCTGTCGGGCATGGTTGTTTAACTTGTGGCTATATAAGCATTTCGAGGTATAGTTATTCGGTTGGCTTCACAACGTGAAAACCGACAATAGGCCGGCAAATTATTGTAAACTTTACCAGCATTGGGGATAATCGGTCGTTAAAGAAACTTTGTTGTGCACTCCCACCCACCCTACTTGGCTCCCTTCTTGGACCCAAAATTGAGTCCGTCTGTTTTGCCCCCCTCTAATCCCCCTCTATGCCCTCATATTGAAAGAAGTTTGTTCTGGGCACCCTACTTTGCCCCCCCTCTGGACCCCCATATTGAAAGACGCCTGTTCTGGGCACCCTACTTGGCCCCCCCTCTGGGACCCCAAGTTGTCCCCCCCAAAAGCCTCGTTTTTAAAGAATTCACTAAAAGTAACCTTAAGCATTCCAGGAGATGTTCAATATATATCATGATTGCTTGCGCGAACAGAAACAATGGCATGACCATTCTTTTCAAGCAGCATGGCATTGGTCTTTCAAGCAGCCAGCCTGAACATGAGTTCCTGAGATACGGCGGATGAAACTACATTGTCTCTGATTCTCGCTTTTGGTCGTAAATCCGGCTGGCTGACAAAAAATTCCAATGAAATCCAAGGTGTGTGGCAGGTCTGTCTCTGTACATTTATCCTTACCCACAAGACAAGCACATGAATTCAGAAATTGCAGGAAGCCAAGCCGGCAAAAGACTCTTGGCCAAGTAAGACATAATTTGTGCTGTGACTGTGGCTGTCACTCATTGATTTCTGGCTTGGCACCAGCTGCAGAAAAAAGTCACATTGAAGAACCATTAATCCTTGCCATCTTGACAGAGGACTACGCACGCCTCTCTGCTCAATCACCTCGCTGCACGGCATCAAAGCCCACAGTGTTGAGTCAGGCAAGCTGACAGGACCGATTCTCAAACATCAGAAGCGTTTCTTACAGCGAGGGGTTCTTCAAGGAAGGTTGTTCGAAGTTTCTTTTTGGAGATGTTCTTGAAAGGCTCGCTAGTGTTATATATATATATCTTTCCTGAAAATGCCTACAACTTGCCCAGCTTGCCTACCTCTGCATGCCTTACACATTTACAAGAAACACAAAAAGACCGCATGGCTTGTCACGATGGTCACCGAGTCGAGTCATGGACTGATCACCAAGACCTCCGCTTGGCCGAAAGCCTGACATCTTGAAGTGCTGGATTCTATATATATATATATATTGAATCATCTTCGGTGTATTTTAATAGGGGACCCCCAACCAATTGGTTTTTGTCTATTTCCCTTCTTCCAGGGAGTCGAACTGGGACGTCTCCCTATTTTGAAACACACCCATATAGAACCAATCATGCCTTTGGGATCCTTTGGGCACAATTTGCAAGTCTCGCTGCAACACTTAATTGCTTTGGGTCAATGATGTTTGCACTTGAATGAAGTAACTCTTGTTGACTGGCATCCAGGGCTATTACTTGCTGCCATCTGTCTCTGAAGCTTTTGGCCAACCCCTGAAATGCTTTAAAGCACTTCTGAAGTTCCGCCGGGTAGTACAGTACATGGAACTCTTCGGGCTCCGGCCTTTGGCTTTGGCGTTGGAGCACTGGTCATGGAATTACTTCGGCCTGGCCCATCAGTCTGGTTGAATGGTTGCGAGACTTGGATGACAAGCCATGTTGCTGGGATCTCTTCGATTCTTTTCTTTGTGATATTCTTTGTGACACTGCTCCACGCAAGCAGTCGGTTGGGAAAAGACATGCCATGAAACATCACGCTAATCAGGTAAAGATTCGTGTGAGCCATTAACATTCTGAACACAAGGGGCAACCAAAATGAAAGTTGCGTCCGAATGTCTTCCTGTGCAGTTGGAAGCTATTGGACCAGGTAGGAAGGTAGAAGACCAATCACCTTTCAGATTCATCTTACAGATGTCAGTCTCCCACACAGGTGAATCAGATTGAATCGGCCTTTCAACTGCATAGTAGGACCTTTCGGACCTTGGTAGAAGAGGGGGCTGTTCAACCGAAGGAAGTGGACTTTGTGGTCAAGCTTGATTAAGGACTCCAATCTATATCGCGTCAGCTGCCGTGTGAAAAGGACATGTGACATGTTCATGCCCGGCCTGATTTTGGGATACGTGAGTTTGGTCTGTAGACGATCTGAATTCATTGAAGAGTCTAGAATCTAGAACGCTCTTTGTTGGACAAGTTGCCCTGTCTGTTTGAGGCCAATGGCTGCCCTCACCAAAATACCCATGTGCAGCAGAAACATCCTGGCCACCTGCATTCACACCTGTATCTGTATAGTCTTTTTGCCCATGCCTAGGCCTAGGCGTTGCAAGAAAGACCAAAACCTGAAGATTTTTGGTGTGGCTCCCGACTCAACGTAGATTGAGGACGACATCGTATACGCACCTTGACAGATTCAAGAAAAGAAGCATTGTGGACAGGCAATTGACTGCAGCAGTACTTTCTTTGTACGCCGCCGAAAGAATCTATATATATATCTAGCTGAAGAAGGCGACAATAAGTTAGGCTTGTCTGGACAAATCCTTTCCCAGAGGTTTCAGGTGTTCCCGTCCCATTGGGATCTCAGACAGTCAGGATCCCCCGGGATCTTCACACTCGTTGCACGTTGTCTAGCGTCCCAACATTCCGTGTTCATGATTCTGTACTATCATCTGCTCTCTATTGACTTTCATCAAACAAACAAGATATGTTAATTCTATATAGGGATGCGAGGTAGGCTGCCCCATCAAGCAGAATTATGGAGCCAACAACATGAATAGGACATAATGCTGTTCAAGAGATCGAGTCACAAAACAGGACTTTCCTATGTCATTAAGCTGCGTTATATCTCCTGAGATCTGGCTAAAGCACGTTCCTGGTTTTTCATTGAAAACAAACATGTCTACTTCTGCGTCCAGAATACCAACTCAGAAAATACATAGGTGCACAAACGCTCCTTCGCACAAATGGACCACTGAGCCCACGACATCGGAAGTGATTGGTCGACTTTGTGGCTCGGCGGGTTGTGGAGCCTCCTGACACGGAAGTCGGACCAAAATACAGTGAGAGGATATGTACAGTGTATAATCTGTATATATCTGTATACTATTATATAATACAAATAATATATACTGTATATTATATTGGTGGTAGAGTCCCAGGCATTGCTGACAATCGGCCAAGTGGTGGCCGATCCCATGCCCTTGCGACATCTTGCGATTCTGCGATTCAGGCGGAAGCTTCATCTGGCTTCCAAGTCCTCTTGACCAACTCCAGCTTCGAATCTGCGGAGTAGGCCGCGGATATCCATGTCATCCTAGTTGGCAAGGCCGGCCAAATCAACCAGCACTTGAGTACTGGACAAATCATCTTTGGATAATGCATTGTAAAAATGTGTAAAAAATTGTCTTCCAAATGCCGGCATGCACGACTGGGGAATTCCAAATGCCGGCATGCACGACTGGGGAACTTCATGGAACAACCGGTGGCAATAGTTCTACCAAACTCCACCATCTATCAACATTGAGATGTGGCGTGAATGGGACCCACTGCCAAAAGCATGAGAGAACACAACCCGTTCCTATGCTCGTCTTGGGTCTTGGAC